CCCACTTAATAGTCAGGAGAGCACATTTTCGATCAGATGTCTCTAGGTCTTAGGTTTTCAGTATAACTGGGAAAAGCCACATTGAGATGTCAAGGGTAGGCCAGAGTTTTCTCATGCCAAAGAGACACTTTCTCATTCCTCCTTAAAGGCAATAGCAACATAAAACCTACTTCTTAATGGTGTACTATGAGAGAAATGAGGAAAATTCTGTCTTCTTCACAGGCAACCTTCAACCAATGTCTCTATGATGCATCTCTGTCAGTCAGGGTAGCTGCAGGGAAAATTAATTTTCCCCCTCTTAGGCAAGTCCTAAGATTTGGGAACTTCAGTATGGTTTCTTCACAGAGTACTCTGAAACATCAGGGGCCATTTTCCTCATGCTCCATCATGGGTCTTTCTTGCTCTGGAGAAGTGGCCCAAACCACCATAAGTTAAGTAAAGCTGAAGCCATCTTCTGAGTAATAGCTTCTCTTTCTAAGGTTCATACAAGTAGAAACTGGCCAGCGCTGTAGCTCTGTTCAGAAACAATGCTCATGTTCTTCTCCTTCCATACAACTCCACTCTCTGCCTGATGAACTTTGATGGCATTTCAGTATTCATGCAGATGGTAGCTTTAGGCTTGTTATAGGGCAAACACCTCTCATTGGCTTTCCTGAAGGGCCAGCATATGTTCATGGGTAGCCACTATGGCTCTCAGCTGTTGAGAGACCTCCTTATTTTCTCTGCACTAAGTGTCTCCATACAGATTCTGAACAGCTTCTTTACTGTTCCACATTAGACAACACCTGAGTCAGACCACTGGGTTGAATTACCGCCTCTTCACTACCTAGTAGATGTGTGACTTTGAGCAAACTTTCCTTCACTCCTCTAAGCCTCAGTTCCTCATGTGTAAAATTACATTTTACAAATATAATATTTGCATGTTCCTAGCAGGGACATTGTGAAGACAAAATGATAGCTCGTGTAAAATACTTAGAATGATACCTCTCATATAATAAGTACCTAATAAATGCTAGTTTTATCATTACCATCATCGTGGCCAATGTCCATAGATGTATATCAAGGTACACATATGAGCATGTGTATTTATACAGACATATATGGAACACACTGAATGTAGACACAGATATAAACAGTCATCTCCCCAGTGTTTAATGTAACTAGGAATAAACCAAGACAGGGAACATAGGAAGAAAAGTCAGCTTGTGGTGGAGGCATAAAAAAAGAAAAAAAGAGAAAAGAAAAAAAAGAAAAGAAAAGAGAAAAGAAAGGAAAAGAAAAGAAAATAAAGAAAAGAAAAAAAAGAAAAGAAAAAAGAAAAGAAGAAAAGAAAAGAAAGAAAAGAAAAGAAAGAAAGAAAAGAAGAAAAGAAAAAGAAAAGAAAAAAAAGAAAAGAAAAGAAAAGAAAAAAAAGAAGAAAAGAAAAAAAAGAAAAGAAAAGAAAAGAAAAGAAAAGAAAAGAAAAGAAAAGAAAAGAAAAGAAGGGATCCCTGGGTGGCACAGCGATTTGGCGCCTGCCTTTGGCCCAGGGCGCGATCCTGGAGATCCGGGATCGAGTCCCACGTCGGGCTCACGGTGCATGGAGCCTGCTTCTCCCTCTGCCTGTCTGTCTGTCTCTCTCTCTCTCTCTCTCTCTCTCTCTCTCTCTGTGACTATCATAAATAAAAATTAAAAAAAAAAAGAAAAGAAGAAAAGATGATGACAATGGATGTTGGGCTCACTGAGATGAAGTTCCTGGAAGTCTCTGACAGGCAGCTCAGCTAGGTCTGGATCTGGATGTCAGGTCTTAGGGAACCTGACTCAAGAGATCTGAGTGCTCAAATAGTATTTAAAATGCTGAGGATGGAAAAGATATTCAAGAGAGCTCTACAAAGTGAGAAGAGATCTGGATCTCAAAAGAAAACTTAGGGAACGGCAACATATACAGGAGAGCAAATGAACAGCATCCCTTCGAGAAGGCTGAGAATGAGTGAATGTTTTTGTGGAATCCAAGATGGTTTCAAGAAGCATGAAATGATGCAGAGAACCATAGGAGGAAATCTTCATGAAAGAAACAAGATTGAGGGAAAAAAATAGGTTCAGTAGGGATATTTGGGGTGTTATTTTAACTCTATTGAAGTAATTTGTCCATTCTCTAATTGCATAAACAACCACATGCCTACATGCATAAGACCATGTGCTAATTGTGGAAAATTATAATTAACGAAACGTGTAAACATACTTAGATACAAAACAAAATGCATCGGTGTTCATTCTACCATAAGGTTCCTCTAACCTCTCCCAGGAAGCGATGAGTGGGTGATGGGGACAAAGCGGGTTAAATCTGAGACCCAGTAAGGAATTTGTCTCTGATTGTGGAAAGAGCTCTTCCTCAACTCAAAAATTAACTCTATAGTGGCCAAGGTTGCTGCTTCTATTTAGAGAAATCTACCTACGTTAGACTCACAGGAAAAAGCATATGTATTTGAAGGACAGTATGTACTTTGTGTCAGGTAGTTCTCATGCCTAATAAAAAAGAGCATTCTTTGGGATTGTAGCACTGTCACCAGGAAGAGTTTGTCAGATGTCATTAGGTATAAGATCGGACCAATGACTCTCTAGAGAGGCAATTTTGCATCTTCACTCCAATCAGGAAATACCGACAAATGTCTGGAGACATTTGGAGTTGTCATGACTAGGCTAGGGGCTGGGGAGTTTCTCTACTGGCCTCTATGGGTATAGGCCAGTGACAAACTGTAAATGTCCTGCAGTGAGTAGGACAAATCTATGCACCTACATAAGTGTGACAAAGGATTATCTAGTCTAAAATGTCAGTTGTAAAAAAATAAAAATAAAAATAAATAAAAAAATAAAATGTCAGTTGTGCTTAGGTTGAGAAACCCTGTACTGAAATAATGACCCAGTTTTAGTTTATCACAAGTACTTTCTCCAAAAGCTTTTATATTTTATTGTTTGCAAATTAATTATGTATACAAAATGTTATCATTCGTATGTTGCAAAATAAGCAGAATCATAATTTTTACTCCATTTTAGAATTGAGGAAATTGAGGCTTTCCAGAAACTCAATTCATGCCCCCTTGTCTCAGTAGCCCTTCTGCTAAACACAGAATGACTATTTTATCTACAAAAATAAAGCTTTCTAGATACTATCAAAAATAATGGACTGAGTTGGTTTTTCATCTCATATAAGAGCTACATTCCTATAATTTAAAGATCTCAGACATTTCACTATCCAGGTCCTTTGAAGAAAACAGGGCCCCAGAAGTCTTATATAAATACTCTTTTAGGTTCCCAATGTCACCAAAGTCAATCTCTAACTCTGCTGCCCTGAGAAGCACAGCAAAGTTGATCCTGATATTCATAAGGCATGACACATGTCTATTAGACACGTTTATTAGACATTAATTGGCTCGTGCCTGGATATGCCTTGTTCCTAACCCAAGCTTGGTCAGGAGATACATATGGTTCATCTTAAGGCCAAAGCAAGCTGCAAAACAGTTTATAATGAAAGCCAACCTCATGTTGCACGACACTGAGCAACACATACTTAGTGGCATCAGATGTGTTGTTTATCAGCAAAGCTAACTCCAACTCAACACACACACACAAAAAAAATCATGTGTGGGAACAAGAGAACCCAAGTCTTCCAACTTGGTTGGAAGTCGGCAGCTTGACAGGAGAATCATTTCCCAGGGAACTAGGATACAGGGATTCTCTTTACTCATCTCTGTCAGGACAAAAGATGGTGAAGCCAAAATGATTTTACAAAAATACTTCAGGATCTTGAAAGACATTGTCTTCTTTCTACTGAATTTGTCCTTATTGAGACCAATAAGTCTCATCTTTCAAAAAAATATCATCTTGGAGACAAAGAGATCCTGACATCTAAAAATCGATGCTCAGAATCATCGCATCACTTTCTCCCATCAGAGGATGTGCAGCTAAAATTTTTCAAGATTCTCTCAGAGATCACACATTTCAATCTACACTTAAAGCTGACTATACCTAAGAGTATACTTTAAACACCACACTGTTTTCACTGAAAGGCCATATGGGTGAAAAAAATATATATATATATGTCATTACTCTGATAGGAAAACGAACGTTGATCATACAAATGAGTTAGCCATAAAATGAGATGGAAAGCAACACAAGTCTAGAACCTTGCTCCTCAAAGTGTGGTCCATGGCACCTGCATCACTGGGGAGCTTGTTAAAAATGGAGAGTTTCAGGTCCCCTTGAGACCTCAATTAGCAGTTTAACAAGATCCCCAAGGAGTTCTTGACACCTTCAAATTTGAGAAGCACCAGCATCTAGAACTTAGCAACCTTTCCTAAAACTCAACTACCATTTTGTGTCTTTGAAATTAACACTTCGCTTTCACATCTTTTGCCATCAGTAATGTATAATTATATGAGGCAAACATAACCCTTGTGCTTTGAATGGTGGCAGATCTGACTGCTGTTTGAGGACTTTCACACATGCTGTACAAGGATGTTGCTGACACAGAACTAAGTGTCATCCACATTACTCTAGATGTGCCCTGCTGTACCAGGGGTCTGTTTTTTTATAGACAATTACTGCTGACAATTTCCAAAATTGGAAGGGGAGAACAGAGAGAAAGGAAGAAGAGGACATAATCCTAAAACAGAACAAAGCTCTTATTTAACAGTTTCCTACTTGTAATACTTTCAAAAAATCCATCATTTCTATGAACTTCACTTAACGTGCAACGGTTTAAGCCTGCGAGTCCATTCAGGAAGCCACACTAGGCTCAAAGGACAAAACTGCCTCAACCAGTGACCACAAGTGCTTCAGTTGCAGCTCTTCCCTAATAAAAACAACTCCTAGAGTGCAGATACCCGGGGGACCAGGAGCCTCACCTGCTCATCACCTCTGGGGAAATAAATAGACTCTGTATCTTCTTCTGCCTAAGACTTTTTTACCCTCTTCTGATATTCATGCATTATTGAGATTTAAGAAAGAGAAGACAAACCCACCTGGAATCTCCGCATGTCACGTGGGTTTCCTGCATTCTTTAGGCAATTTTGGTTACATTTGAGGAAAAATTTCAAGAAGAACCTGTGAAGAAACAAATTATCACAGTTAATATTTCAGTCCTGAAACAGAAAGGAAGAAAAAGGTAGTAAGTTGCATTTGGGTTGTACATTCTATTCTCCAAGTATTTTCTGAAATATTTAGGATGGTGTTAGAGCCAGTATTTTGTTTAAAGCTTTAGCCTTTGTTTTGCATCCAAGCTGGACTTTCTCTATGAAGGAAACACCTTCAGTAAAGCAAATAGATCTCACAAAAGAATTAAGCCCCCAAGGAAGTATTTTTACTCAGACAGAGGGAAGGTCTTCACCATAATTTAAGATAGATTCCAATTGGGTATAATTGCCTGAGAATTACTCACGGTTCCCAACAACATGTAATTTAAGCCCTGTAAATTCACAGACGATGAACCAGCAAAATGCACGCTGGATGAATATAAGGAGATGGTAAACACTTTTATTTTAGCATCTCCAAATAAAATACCTTAATTAGCAGTACCCACAAGAAGCATATAAGATTCACATACTGACTAAAGTCCTTTGAGTTCTCAAAGATTTCCTGTATGTTTTTCTTACAGAGCCTATCTGTGATTGAATAAGAACCTCACCACCACCTTGATCCCTGAATTGGTTCTAGAGTGCGATCCATGAGTTTTGGTGAGCAAAAGTCCCAATTTGCCAGGAACAATCCCAGTTTACACTGTGTTGTAAGTATTAATAGTACCCACTTTAACTCTCAAAGTGTCCTGTCACGGATGATAAATTAGATGGTCACCTTATAACTTTCTGAGTTATTTCTTTTAAAAAAATATTTTTTTTATTTATTTTGAGAGAGAGTTCATGAATGCACAAGCCAGGGGGAGGCGCAGAGGAGGGAGAGTCTCAAGCAGACTCTTTGCTGAGCACAGAGCCACACATGGGGCTCAATCTCACGACCCTGAGACCATGACATGAGCTGAAACCAAGAGATGGATGCTTGACCATCTGAGCCACCCAGGCACCCCCTGAATTATTTCTTAGGTTGTAGTTGTTAAAGTCTATACCAGGAGGACAGCAGCTATCAAAAGAGTGCTATTAGGACATTTATGTTGACAATCTACATGTTCTCCCTTGGCCCATGTTTGAAGAAAGAAGCATTTTAAAAGCCATCCTAAGTTCTCCATTCTCTTTTACTTTTAGGCTGATGGATGTCAGGCACAAATATTTTCCAAAAACACCAGAATGCATTAAAATGCCAGTCAGTTAAATTCTTGTAGGGATTTCTTTTCTTCACCTTTCTCCCACTTCAAGTCTATGCTAGAGTATAAAATTCCCACCTTGATACACATAACTTGTGAAGAACTATCACACCACGATGCCTCAGTTTAGCTCTGAGCACAAAGTCTATTAAGGAAATAACACAGGGGTCTTCAGAAACAAGAACACAGAACAGAGTGGCACTGAACTGAACCAGTTTCCGAATAATGAACTGAGAGAGGTCCCAAAAGAATCTCTCTCCTCTCTGTCCCTCAGGAGAATATGGTGTAGGAGTAGCTCTTTGAAGAGCAACAATAACTTTTTCAACTGAAAGAACATGTTAAAATGTCAACATCTTCCTGAAATGACTCTTTCAACATCATGCACCGTTCAACCACCCATCAATAAAAGCAGGCCTCTGAATAATCATCTGTTCCTACTTCCAGTTTCTCTTCACAGAGCCCAAAGTTTATCAGCCTTTCGTACAAGATAAATGACTTGTGGAACATCACTGAAGGCCAAATTTGTAAAAATGGAATCTGGCTCTGGCACCCCTTCCCTAGTACGAAGAATGGCACTGTCATTCCCTGGGGCCATCAATTGGTCCTGACTCCTGTCCCTTTTCCATAGGAAGACTTGGGAAGGGATGGAGACTTGAGGGAGGAGTCACAACCCCAAGTGCCTCCACACTGTCCTTTCCTCTGAGCTCTCAGAAGGCCAGCGCTGAGTGGCTGGCTATGTGATAGCAAGAGGCTTTCAGAAGCTAAGGTGGTGAAACTCAAGGATAGTGAGGCAGCCATCTTCTTGGGTTCAGGTCAAAGACATCTGAAATGTGAGAACTGGCTGCTTCTTTCAGGCACAGCTCCTTGGAAGGGCATTTTTAAAAGCCACGCCAAGACCCATGAGAGGACTGAATGCCACTAAGTGACAGTGACAACCAGTGTGGTGGTGTGGAGGAAAAGCCATAGCCTTTAGAAGTACCCAGAATGGGGTTCATATCCCAACTCTGACAGGTACTGCTTGTATGTTTTTGGATACATAGCTCAACTTTTCTGCACCGCACTTCCCTTATCTGTAAACTGGGTATAGTGACAGTCCCTTCTTTGTAAGACAGTTGTAAACATGAGTTGCGAGAACGCCTGGCACCTGGTAAGCATGGCAATGGTGGCAGGAGTAATAATGGTTTCCATGTATTACATACTAAGAACTTCAAATACATTTTCCCCATTTAATCCCCCTAAATAATCTCTGCTATTAATGCCATTTTATGGATGGAGAAACTGAGGTTCAGAGAAGTTAAAAAAACTTGCCCAATGATTAGTAACTCTGAGTCCAGAACTCAAATTTGGCCAGAGCTTGTACTCTTTTAACGATTATGCTACAGTAATTTCAGTAATAATAGAAGTAGTACAATACGGATATTAGTACTACCTGTACCATCAGTAGTCAGTCACTACACCACAATGGCATTCACACTAGTAAGTGTAAATAAGAGTAACTTTACAAATAAGAATAATTATTAGCATTATTATTTCCATACCAGTAGCAGAAGTACTGTGGAGGGACACATCATTGCCATTCCTCTCCAGTGTCCCCCACCCCTGGTTCCCCAGGGTTGATAATACTGCCACGGGGGTGTGTCTAAGACATTTGAGCCCAGACCCGACAGCCAGATTCAGGCTGTGTTAGAAGGAGCTGTCAGCACACCCTCTGGCATCTTCAAGTCAGACAACTGCTAGCCACCATGAGGGGAGCCATCTGGTGCCAAAATGGATTTTGAAAGACAAGCAAACAGGACGCTAGCTCTGCCAGATAGAAACAGAATCAAGGGAGCAGGGGATCTTCTGCCTTAACGATGAGCAGGGGCGAGGTGCCTGTCACCAGCCCATCGTTAGCACAAAAGCTATGCTGGGCACACACCGGATCCCTGTTACCCTAAGCTGCCCTGTCACTTGGCCTGTTGGCAGAATGTCCTGCCCGCCCTCTCGACAGTGGATTGCTTGCTGAAATTGAAGGCTTGACCATCTGTCGCAGGGAAGAGACGGCATCAACGGGTGCCTGGGGCCTCACACAAGCCCTTATGTGGCAAAGACGCTCTGAAGGGCCCGTTCTTTTGGGGAAAGCCAGCCTTACCCCAGGGGGAGCCTCAGGAATTCTTTCAAAGTTTCCCCTAAGTAGATGCCAAATGCCTGACCCTGTCGGATCACACTTCCTTAAAGGAACTGAGAGGAGTTAGAAGTAGGAGTTAAAAATATCCCCACTGAGAGACAGAGTTAGACGTGGCACACACATTTTGGGGATGATTTATCGGGCTGTTTTTAAGGCATTTGTAAACCAGGGACGCATGCATGTCTGCTGGCCTATGGAGAGGATCTCGGATTCTGAGGGGGTTTCTAACAAAGCAGAGGTTATTGTAACTCAAAACCTCACTTTTGTCTCATGAATTGCCACATTTTGTGTGGCGGGTGTGTTTGATAAAGTGTTGTCAGGAGAAAGAGTGTGGCAGCCTTATCCCAACCGTGGGAAACAGACTGGAGGCAGGACAAAGCCCCTATTGACCCTGTAGAGTTCCAAGGAGTTGCAGAAACTCCAGGAAATAGCCCAACCAGAACCAAACTACAGTCTTTTTTGGGGAATGGAAGAGGTGAGGCAAGAAACCCAACACGCTTCTGTTAACCTTCAGTATGAATAATATCATGTTATGTTCATACAGTGTGTTTTATGATTCAAAGCACTTATATCTCCAGTATCTCACTAAATGCTCACAGAAGTCCTATAAATTAGGCATGCCAGGAATTATCAACCTATTTAAAGAAAAGTAAGACTCAACAAAATTAAGATATTTATCTACAGTCAAAACTAAACCCATACTCTGTATTAGTCAAAGGACTCCTTATAAGTTTTTTTTCCCATGAATCACAGGACTTTATAAATGACCTAAACTATCACTTAGGATAACTTTTTCATTATGCATATGAGAAAATTGAGAGATCAGGAGACATGATAACAGCCACAGAGTTACAATAGTTATGATAGTTAGGCCTACAATCTACATGTCCTGATTTTTAGTTGTATGATTTTTTTCAAGACAATGTTAGGTTTCCAAAAGCCAACCCAATAAGTGCTCAACACTTGAGCTATTGAACTTTTTAGTCAGCCACCTCAATTAGGAAAGTGACAGTCATAAAACTAAAAGTGACATTCTATTAAAAGTTGTGTCTGGGTTCATCAATCAGACTAATGTAGGACATTAGCCCATCATTGAACATTAACTGAACCGAACACATACATTTGCAGAACAAAATTGTTTATTCAATGGTTTACCCTTATCACATTTTCCCCACTGATACATAGTCAGTACATTGAGTCTCCTTCCTTTTTTTTTTGAGTCTCCTTCCATTTGACTAGCACAGTGCTGGATACCAAAGATACTTCTAGGCTCCCCCAAAAGGAAAATTCATTGATTTAGCCAACAGAACCTGATCCATCTATCCAAGGACATAAAATAACAACAAATAAAAATCATCTCTGTATTCTCAGCACATAACACAGGATTCAGAACCCAGTGGGTTTTCAGTAAATCTGTTCGACTAAACAGAATCCAGGACTTCCAAGGAGTAGAAAGAGAATGTTCTACAATAAAGACAGCAGTAGAGAATACTGGACAAGAGCTTGGATTGGAGATAAAATAATCCTGGGTAAACTTCTGCAGTTCCCTGAACCTTAGCGGCCTTATTAAAAAACATGGGCATAACAGTATTTCTCCCCAGCACCACTATGTGGCATTCATCA